TAGCCAAACGCTTAACCTAAATCTCACCACACGCATGGAGGACATCAAAGGGAACAGAAGATAATATAGGCGTGAGCCTGCAGGGATTTTGACATGAAGCCATAGCGTTTCAGTGACGTTCTTATTACAAACCAAGTCAATAGCAGATTATGGTAATGTGATATCTAACTGAGGGGAACAGTGACTAATATCCTACACGTACACACAACATCCCTGGCAGTTATTTTTAACCACTGGAAACATGTCAAATGAGCCGGTCCAGCAAGCACTTTCACTGAAATCCAGGTGTACCCTCCTTTTTATGACGTGGCTTGTTTATGAGAGCCAAAGAAAGACAGAAGAAATGCAAATGAGCTCCAGTATCCTGTCTCACATTATGCCGACAGTGTTGCCATCGTCATTGCTTCCCCGATGACTCCTCGGGCGGATCACTTCGCCATTACCGTTTAACGTCTCTACTATGTTTGCCCATCTCTCTCTGCTGTGTTTTCTTATTCACTTTTGCCCTGGTCCACCCAACTTCCTGCCCCATGTTCTGCTGCTCTCTAGGCAGGTGCCGGCGAGTGCGTCTGTGTGTGTGTGTGTGTGTGTGTGTGTGTGTGTTGGAATGGCTTTCTTTTTGAGGAAGTGGCTGGCGATAAGTGCCAACTGATGAGTATCACCCTCATCCGGAGCTCCATTCATCGACGTGCACAAGGGCCCATTCACCCACTGCTTTTCACACTTGTGGACCCCAAGAACCCCGAGCATGTTCCCACACACGCAACTGTCACTCACTCGAGACATCTTACACAGATGCCACAACGGGAGACATATAGACACGTACATATAACCTCCTCTGCACTAAATATAAACCCAGGAATAGACTGCTTTTCTCATCTGACTCATTATAAGCGGGCCCCGGAGCCCTTCTTATTTTCCTTAGAAACCTGCAGCCTCCACATCTGAAAATCTCTTTCAGGACGAGTGACACAGAGCAGGAAGAAGGTGTCAGTTCCATTTCTGCCGTCTCCCTCCACTGCGAATCTTTCTGGCACGCTTGTTCCACAGCCCACTAACATAGCCATGCACCGCAGTGATATTCGATAGACGCGTCGAAGAAGAGATGTCACATTTGATGGCATCGTGTGGGACACTGAGAGGGGGATGACTGGATGGAGGGAAAGTCTGCGGATAGCATGTAGTGCCGACAGCGCCTGGATCTAGTTACGCTCTGGTAAGACCTGATGATTATATTAGACCAGGATATTCGAGGATCTTCTTTTTTACAAGATCTGAAAATTTGGGCGCGCTTCTGCTTTCGTTGAGTCGTGGAGGAGGGGCACACTCTCAATGTTGTCTTTACAAACCACAACCGACAAATCCAACTTATTCTTGCCTCAACGGCCTACCGTATGTATGCTGCTGTCCCTCCACTGAGTACACGCTGTGACTAACTGCTGCAGGCGCCGTGCATTTCTGCTCTTCACGCGCAACATCCCTGGAAACGCTGAGCTGCAGCCTGACCCTCATATTCACATCACATTCCCTCCAGAACAGAAGACCATCTCATTAATGAGGGCATCTCGGGTGTGTTTACATTTCATTACACAGCTCTGCCTGGCTCCCCGTACCTAAATGACTAGAGGAAGGGGGGTGGGGGGGCGTTGCATCCCTGCAAAATTACACTAAGCCACTACAATACAAAGCCACTCTGGAAAGGATGGACTTCATGAAGTCTGTTTTTAAAAACATGTCGGATAATTGTAGGAAGATTATGTGCAATGTGTGTAAAGTCTTGGGAGTAGCGTCCTTAATCACTTAAAAGACTGGAGCAAATTTCCTTTTTGTGATTGTGTTCAGCATTGAGCAGCCATAGCAGAATATCAATAGATGGGCATAAATGCGAATGTATTTCCAATCATAATCCAGGCCTCTATCAGTCTTAATAACCCATCAGTCTACAAATCAAGTCAGACTGTTGGTGGGACTCTCGGTTGTTTCTGTTGCGCATTTGCAAGGGGTAAACGTCTTTATTAGTATTTCGATGGTAAATGATCGGTTTTTGGAAGACGGCCGACAGTGCTTGGCACACTGTTCTTTCCAGTAGAAGTATAGTTGCGTAAATAACAGCATAGGGATTCTTTAAAGAGAGCAAATGAAGCCTTTTTTTATTTTACCATTTCACATTTTCCAACAGAAAGTGATAGAGTCATATATTTTGATCTTAAAATTGTATTTATGTGGTCATATGGAGATTAGCTCATTTACTTTGGCCAGAACATTCCTGGTTTACAGCTCTGTCACCTACCAGGTCAAACACTCACACGCTGTAATGCAGGTGAATGTGGTGATGAGGAGCCTTCAGTTTCCAGCGCAACCCATCTGCCAACATCTCAGCCCTCCGCGCCTGGCCAGAGCAGAGCCAGCGGGACGCCATCTTAACGCTCTGAGAATCATCACCACCGCACGACGTTTGAACAGCCACAGAGATGCCGTCTATACTCACATGACAGTTGAGTATGTTTTAGATAAGTAGTAGTAGAGCAGCAGCAATAAAATGAGGAGAAATATTATGGAACTGCGTCTTTCAGCAGATCGGTCCTTTCGGCATACTGAGAAAATGGAGCAAAAGATGAAGCAACACAAGACAAGTAAAGACTGATGAGCAGCTGAGGGGTTCGAAGAACAGAGCAGATTTAAACCAAACCCAGGTTCCTGTCCCACAGTTACACACACGGTAGCGGACTAGGATCTGCACACAAGGGGAACATTTGGGGCAACATGCAGCCTATATGTTGCCTAAAATGATGTGACGACAGCCAGTCAGGCCACGGGGTTCATAAAAAGTTCATTAATGTGGAAAACTTCTGTTTCGGTTCAGAGGGGAGGCCAAAACCTCAATGGTAAAATGTTGTTGTCTCCTACCCATTGGCTTCAACCTAAATGGGTTAACCTGGTTTTCATCAGCTGTCCTTCCTGCAGATCAACCTGCGCTGACCTTTGGATCAATCATGGCCTTCAATGAATCCATATAGTCTGTGTTGGAGCTTCAGAGAGTTCATACTGGGTTTATACCGCTTGCGTATCTGATCACAGAGAGCCTCGATGGATTTTCTCTCACAAAGATCGAGGGTTCCCCCGAAAAAGACAGCCGTCAATTTTCCTGCTAGAACGGTGGGATCCTTTTGTTGGCGCCCAGTCGGCTGAGTTGACAAATCATGAGGACTGGCACCATTTGAATACAGAGAACGACCCTGTCAAGAAGTAACTCCCTGCAAGGTGTTTCTGCAGCAGCCACCTGAGGAGTGGCAGCAACGCAACGATCCTCCAGACGGTAACTAACTTCTGTGGTGTCCCAAGCCAGACGGCAGAAACACATCTTGGCATTGTACGCTTCTGCAAACAGGCACAGGATGTAGAGACCGTTTACCAAACCAGGACACAAATCACAGATATGTTTCATATCACGATTGCAGCGAATATATCACGGGAACGAAACAGTTGACAAACATTTCATGTTTTTTGTTAAACTAATAATAAAATGTTTTTGATCGCTGCCAATAGGATCGGTTGGTAATTAGTTAAAACAGCTACTGCTGATAATGTTTACATCGTGTTTGTGTAGAATTGCTGGGATTTGTTCATCATTGAATTTGATTTTTGTTTGTTTATAACCATAGTGCGTTGACTGAAAAAGATATTGATTGCGTCTTCCCTCATCAGACATCTGTAACCATTCAACGTTAAAAACCAGAAGAGGAAAAGGTAATTAGAAATAATAATTAATTAGGTAGTTTGTTCGACTTCCCCGCACTCTGAATCTCTGAATCATGCTCCTATTTTAGGTCTTTGCGCATCATGTTTTTGTGCCGCCCCTCTGTTCATTCTGTGAGCTATGGCATCTCTCCGACCGGGAAAAAGGAGGAAAATACCTTTTTTTGTAACCCATTTTTAATGCAGCCATGTTGCAAATAAGAAATGTCAAATCAAAATCTCAACGAGGTAATGAAGCAGCTGTCACAGAGGAACACACCTGGCAGAGAGTCAAGAAGGTAAAACTGTCAAAGGGTGCATCTCCTGGAAGGGTTTGACTTCCCTCACTCACCGAGCCATGGGCCAATTCACGGGAGGCCAGGACGGAATGAAGGAAACACCGAAAAGCCTCTAGGGCGACAAATTCGCAATGCAAAAAAGGGATATAAGTGCAGGGTTAACAAGATAGACTGGCATTTTGTTTTTGTACAGCTAAGAGAGTCATCTTCTGGCTGAGAATGCTGACCCCACTGATATGAAAAATACTCTCAGCTCTGTCAGCGAAAAACAACAACAGAGGCTTGATAGCGCAAACTATCACGGGGAGGAAGGTAATCCTCAAGTCCTAAAAGTTGAACGATGTATTGAGCGCGCGTGTGCGCATGTCTTTGTTGCGGATTGTGTTGCGTGGCTACTTAGAAGAGCACTTAGAGTCGTTTTTCCGTCTCTTTGTTCGCCTCGTTGATCGGAGCGCTGCTCTCGTTCGAAAAGAGAGAAAGAAAAAAAAGGCGCACAGCCAACAGCGGCAGCCGTTTTAATATTCACGTTTAACACCGCAACAAGAACAACAAAAATATGTGTTACATGACTGATGTATATAACATCTCTGCCGCAGAGGTTGATGATAAATTCCCGTGCCCCCCCGCCCCCCCCCTTCCCTCCATCCCTCCGCGCGCAGAAGGGAAAAAAAATAACGCTGCAATAACGCAGAGGAAAGCGGAGAAAAACAAGTCATTGCGGTCCAACGCAACAGTTACCGAGATCACCTCCTAGCACACGGCGGTCTCTGCAGCAAGCCTCTTACCTATAGACACATATGCGATTAGAACACGCGCACGTTGTTCCACCCGCGGACTTATCACGCGCTCTTCACGAAGTCGGTTAACAGATTGAGGGCAATTGAAGAAAAGAAAAAAAACACCTAGTGAACATAAATTACGGGAAATGCCGGCACATGTAGACTACAAGCTTGATTTGCTACTCACAGGCGTATGTCATGGAGAAGCTATTCCCCATCTTGACCATATCCACCTGCGGCACCAGCTTGGGGATGTCCTGGTGGTGAGACAGCGCGAACCGAAACACCTCATATTCGTGCGATTCGATCGGGAACAATCCTCCTGTTGAGCGGCAAAGGGAGCGGGAGTTAATGTCGGACACTCATCGGATCGGGCACACACACTTAAACATACACAGCCTACACAAAACAAATAGGAGGGGTGGGGGTCAAGTTGACATCAGAGCCCAGACAAAAGGTCGCATGAGCCGCTCTCACCTATGTTGATGTTACTTGGGAAACTTGAGCTTGATCCCAAGCACAACCCCAGTAAACTGGTGTAGAGAATGGTGAGGCTTCGCTGCATATTTCCTTTGGCATTGGCGAAGGGGAAAAGATCCGAAATCCAAGCATAGGGTCTGTCCGTGTGTCAAGTTAAATCCACCCCACCGCTTCTCCCGTCGCCTTCCCCCCCCCCGTTCAGAAGAGCAGCAGCAGCGCACACCGACTCAACGACCGAGACAGTTATGGCAATGGAGAGAGGAGGCACCTCTCGCTCTCTCGCTCTCCCCCCCCCCCCCCCTCTCTCTCTCTCTCTCTCTCTCCCTCTCTCTCTCTCTCTCTCTGCTGATGCTGCGTGGCTGCTGTTGTAAGAGATGGAGAAGAAGGACTCCAGCATTCGCCGCACTGCAAAAAACAAGAGAGAAGAGATGCCCCGTGTTGACAAGCTGTTGAGCTAAAATGTCAATTTCGATGTGTTTTCTCCACCTAACAACGGGTGCTTCTTTCCTCCATGTGGGGAGATTTCCCTTGTTTGTTGCTTGCTGGGATATTTTGGGTCATTTGCCTGCATGTCTGGACAGAAGTGTTAAACAGCAAAGGTGGAGCCTCGTAAAGATCCATCATCGAGGAAAAGACACAGAAAGCACGTGTCATTATCTCACCTTGATGAAGGATGTATTCGAAACAAATGTAACACTCAATGCGCGAGTGTTTGACTCTTGGGCTGAATATGTTTTGCAGTGCGCACCCACAGGTCGCTCAGGAGACGCACGGGATTTCGTATCCATTCACATTCCTGCACTTCAAAGGGATCCGCATTAACATCCCGCGCATATTAACATGGGTTTTATTTTCTAGTAAATCATGTGTATTTTCTTTTTTAAATCTAGAGAAAAATGGGTTAACTTTTTCTGGAATTTCCCGCAAGAATTCATTTCATGGATAAGTAACACATATTTTGTTTGTATCTGCATGTATATGGTAATATTGAACAGTACTCTATTCAAATCAGTTGAAATCCAGGGACTAAGTATACAAATAGAGCAACAGAAACATTTTGTCATACAAACATAATTTGATGTCATATCAAATGTCCTTATTGACACGTTTTTATTTAGATGTTTTCAAGTTCAAGGCAAAATGGACAGAAACATGTATGCTCAGTGGAGTTATCTTTTTTATACAGATATAATTTGATATGAAGTGCAAACTTCATCCACGATAAAGCGCATGAACAAAAGCCTTGGACCATTTATTCACATGGTGCTTCCAAAATTAAGTGTGAACTCAATTTTATTTCCAACAGTGACGAAAACCAAGTCTGATGTGCAAATTCATGTTACCATTAAATGCAAACACAAAATTACAAGATAACTGTTTTAATTAAACACTTCTATCATAAATCGGGACTTGACTTGCGATTACCACCAACTGTTAAAGTTGGAGATCAACAGGTTGCTGTATACACCATTGCACCTTAAATTATGTGAGTAAAACACTGATAATGATTTTCCTGTTTTTAAAATCTGCTCTTCATTCCAATTCTTCCAGTTTTAGCATGTTAAGAGAATGAGTCATTCCTGCCTTTGTAAAACAGGATTAGAAACAAAGGAACAACTATAAATGGATAGCTACATCTCCACCAGGTATTACTGCACTTTGATATCGCCAGAGCTTAAAGCACATGGCCAACCAATTGAATAGCAAGTAAAATATGTAAACCCTAAAATAATGGGCTTCATAGTGCCGGGGATATACTCTGTAAACTGGCTCCATTTTATGTCAAATTTCTGAATTCTGAATGTGAAGGGGGACTTCAGCTCTGCACGCTCCCCCTGAAGCGGTGCAGGACTGGCGAGCAGCTGATAAGGAAGGTTATGATTTAAACCATGTATTTAGAGACAACTAGAGCCAATTATTTTGTAAAGAAAAGGTATAAGCCCCTGTGCTTCTGTAAACATTGAAAAACAAATCAACGCTGGCGATTGTTCACATGAGATTTACCGCAAACCACACAATGTTGTGATGCCCCGGTGCTTGTTAGGAAGCGGTAAATCCTGCTTTAGACACAATAAGGATTAGGAATGAATTTAGTTATCAGACCAAGGGCCGGTTCTTTGTTTTAAGTTGAAATCATTTTTCCAAATGATTGTTTTCACCACACAAGCCAGAAATCCAAACATTTCTTCCTGAGAATACAATTTATAAAATTACAATATTATGGTGAAGTTGATTTCCAGTGTTTCTTAATTAGCAGAAGCATTTCTAAATCCAAATAAAAACTAAACTGCAACTTTAGCCAAAGCGCTTTACAAACTTGAGCAAGAGAAAAGCAAGAAGTAAAAGGTTGTGAATGATGGATTTCCAATAAAGAAAGAAAAAATGATCGATTTGCCTTTATTCCACATGATTAGGGTTCAGCTAAACAAAACGGGTTGGGTTGGCGTTCGTTAAAAAACTTCAGTGTTTCAATTTTTTTACATTTCATTCACTGATTTATTCCAATTTTACCAGCCTGTTGTGTAGTGCACACTTCAGTGTTTGGGTGTACCTTGTGTGTCTGCGTGTGTGTATATGAGTGTTTGCCTGCAGTCTTTTTTGAACTCCTCATGAATACAGATCTTCAAATAGCATGGGTAACGATGGTTAAATATTTGGTGGCACTAAGTAGAGGAATAACAATCACAGAGATTGCTGTTCCAGATTGAAAATATCATCACCATTAGAAAGACACCATATCAAGGAAAGAAGGAGATACGCCGTCTTTTTTTTCCTAAAGATGTCTCCACCATGAATCATGAGTGGCTGTGAGTTTTTTTTTTTATAGACATCTATGTGAAGAGTATAATGAGGTTAATCCATCAAAAATATTCTGGTTCCACTCCAGTTTGAGTGAGGAGAAAAAACGTCCCCAGCGTGTTACTCCTATAATTGAGGCAGCGCACTCGTGTTGTCAAGTACGTGCGTACGTCAGACTGCTGGTGGAAAAACTACATAAAAAATAAAATAAAACACATTGCAGAGGTGACAAACAAAGTAAATATGTCAAACAAACCAAAGACGCTGATGTGGAGTAAAATAGATTGTTGCAGTGCAACAACAGGAACTATTGACCTTAAGAAGCCATAAGTATGCATGAAATGGTCCAACATTCATCATGCAACAATTCGGTCATATATCTTGGGATCCATTACCTACTGAACCTGAACGAATCAATATGTTTGAATAAAAACACACTATGTTGCTTATGGTGCTTAAAAACGCTATAGCTAGCTCTGCAAGACCCCTTGTTCAGCTAATTGCTGTGGTTTGACGATCCTACATTCTTTTCTTTTCATTGCTTCAATCAACTCCAGTAGACCAACTAATTACTGCAAAAAAGCTCCCATAAACCAACTGTGAGCTACCTGCCTATAGCGCCAGACTACAAGCAGACAAAATTAGCAACTAGTTGGCTGGTGAACCTGTTTAACATTTAGCTAGTTCTCGTTCTCTTCTGCTGTGAATAAAGTTCTAATACTTAATATCTCCCTTGTTGTGAGTCTCTAACGTTATCCAAAGAGCTACATATTTTCTCTAGCAACAAAGCAAACTTCATCTGGCAAAGAAGTAAATCAATGATTATGTTTTGTATTTGTTATAAAAACAGATGACTACAGTAACATAATCCCTGCTCTATTGACACTGTGAGGCTAGTTTATCAAAAATTTCCAGGTTGAATATAGTTTTGACACATTTTTTTCTTCACTTATACATACATATTTTTTAAATTTACTATATTACATTTTTTGGTTGCATATTTAATATTTTCAGCTTCAAATATTATATTTTCAAGTTTCTGATCTTTTTTTCACTTTCGGATCCTTTTTTTCACATTCAGACTTCAGACTGGCAGCAGGATGGCGGTGCTGACGAGCGACCTATCTCGACGCTGATTGGCTTTCACAAGACACCGTCAGGGGATTTAATTTGCCCAAAGTTGAAATATTTCCACCTCCTGCCACGTTGCCTGCATAATTGCCTTCCCCATCCACTGGCCGCAGGGGAGGTGGAGCGCTCACCATGTTACCGTGGTAGTACTGATTGACGAGTAAATTGTTGCATTGCCCGTGGAAAAACACTGGCCGGTTGCAGTTTCAAAATTATGGGTAGACACTGCAGATGGTCACACTTAATATTTACACCCAATGGAAGCTTTTGGTGCACAAAATAGCACAGTTGATCAGATAATGGCAATCATTAGACAGGCCCAGTACAAACAGAAAACAGTAATGCAATGAATAAACTTGCTGTCCTTCTGTCTGTCCTTTTGTCGCTATTCATGTGTTCTTTCTCTCTCGGTTCTGCCTTCGCCTCCCCCTCCTCACACGGTATTACCTTCCCCCTCCACTGGCCGTAAGCTCTCACCACGTTACCGTGGTAATACTGATTGATGGAGTCGATGTTTGCGCGGTTCCAGAACATCGCGCATCGGCGTACTCAGACAGGACAAATTTCCGGGAACAAATTATAATGGCCTGATTAATCCCCGCTAGGGAAATGGAAATATTGTGAATACCTGTGAACTCATAGAGGACATAGAGCCGTACAACAGAACTGCAAATGGGGGCTTTTAACTCTTTGAATAGCTGTGCAATTCCTAGCTAAAGCTGCCTGATGACGCCTGCCACTGAACAAAATGATAAATAAGGAATGTAAATATATATATGATATATTTCTGGTAAATCCTGCTATTCCTGTTTAATGACTACATGTCATTAAACGGGAAGTAAAAAATAATTACCTTAAAATGTGTTAGTTCTTTTATCTTGACAATGCTTGAGAATGCACACACTTTTTACAGCGGACATTTTGATTTGTCATAGTGGGGAAAACAAAAGTGAGACCGTTAGCATTAACAATGTCTCCGTTCTGTTAAAGTGTCACAGCGATCCACGACATTCACAGTACCCTAAAACTGAATGAGCTAAAGTAACAAATTGTCTTTTTCACACCTGTGTTCTTCCTACGGTAAAAATATCCTGAGTGAAATAGACCCATTTTTCATTTGGCGTGCACGTCACAAACTATTCATTACATTACATTACAGGTCATTTAGCAGACGCTTTTATCCAAAGCGACTTACATTACACTTTAAACCCATGGCTTTTTCACATTTTTGCCCGGGGAGCAATTAGGGGTTAGGTGTCTTGCTC